AGCTCCCACCCTAATCCCAGAATACACTCATTTTTTTTTTTATAGATCATATAACACAAGTTTTCAATGAAATCAAAAGACTCTACTGGGCTGTTACGGATACAAACAGTATTAGCTGAAAATCTTTAAATATAAAGTACTTAAAAATACAGTCATAATTTGGAACTTTATAAACACCCTACTTTAGCATAATAAATGTGAAGATATTCAAAATAGAAGTGAAATTAGATTTGGTGAAGTTTTTATTCAACTAGAGTCCTGAAGAGATTATTTTCAGAGCTGAATTTCCTAATAGAATACTACAAATTCACACAAATGTCACTACAGATATAATGAATGTTTTTTCATGCCAATGTCACTCACCCTTGCCTGCCTGCACCCCCTCCCCTGACTTTTCAAAATGTATTTCATACACAGAGTCAGTGTTCTGGTTGTTTATTTAATTAACATGACAGCCCAGCATACACAGCATTTCTTTCAGTTCTACAGTTTTAACTTTTTACACTTCAGGCTCAATACAGAAAGAGTAAAATGACTGTTTTCACTCCTTCCAACCTCTGTAAATTTATATAGATTCACTGACTATTTCTGTCAGTTAAAAAAGTTTTTCAGTATGCCTTAAATATCTATATTCACAAATAAAATCATGATTTTAAAAAAATTACAGAAAAACAAAACATTCTTTTCCCTCACCTTTCCTGGGAGATAAGAAAAATCTTGTTTTTCCTTTTTGATATTTTAAGAATTTAGCAATTAATTTTAATTCTGTCACTAAGTCATAAATAATCAACATTGCTCTTTATAACCCCATAAGATGAATATTGCTATGGAAATGACAGAAGTTACAATTTAAAGTCCATGATTAATTCTGAAATTTATTCAATTTGAAATATATAATATATTGTAGTGTATTTAAGAATTTAAAATATAATGTATTCTAGATGTTCAGAAAAAAAAAGATTCTGTAGTTTGTATCTATAAAAGTGAGTTGTACCTTTTACCAATGATATAAAGCCCACCATATCCCTACCATCCAATGTCTGTCATCAAAAACCATACTCTTTCTCCTATTTTTGTTTTGTTTGCTTTTTTACTTGAAAATGTCTTCCCCACATCAGGGATCAAAAATTTGATTCTTTTGATAACAAAACCAACTTATATTTCTACAATAATACATTATTGTATGCTGAAGATGTTTAATTAACAGCTTAGATAAACAGTCACAGGAAACAATCTGAGTTAATTTCTGACTGAAGTTTTGCCCATCACAAAGAGTTTTATCATTAAGTGATTTAAATGCATTCATGGACAGAGACACATGCCTTATATTTATGTGAAACCACAGGTAAAAATATGAAATTTTTCTTAATGTAACTAAAATTGCATTTGGTTTGGAATCTTTCAAAAGTGAATGAGAAAAGTGGTCACAGTAATTACAGAGGAACAACATATATATTGTATGATACAAAGAGAATAGACATCCCTCAAATACAGTTTCCAAATGTTAACTAAAATTTTACATTGAAAATAATATTTATTAATCATGCATTAATCATATTTATTAATTATTAGTACCTAATAACTCAACAAATTAATCATAAATCATAAAATAAACATTAATCATATTTATTAATTATTAGTACCCCAAAACTCAACAAATTCTAGGTACCTCTGTATATTCCAGTGTTTACAGGGTTACAGTGGCATCCTGATCTCAGGTATATCTTACCTGCTCTCAAATGTAAAAATCCACTAGAATATATACACTACAGGGGGTGAATGCTGGACTTAATACTGCCAGTCTAGAAAGTACAGTTAGACACAATCATCTACAGACTCAGCCTCAGTCTGGAGGATACTGGGCTGGTAAGACTTAACTATAAGCCACAGAGACGCTATAAACTTACTTATTTATTGAAAATGAAGAAACATTCTCTTGAATCCTTGCTTATCAACCAATTCCTGATTACTTTTGTGATCAAGAACTAGACCTATTTTCTTTCTCGCTTGAGAATATCTTTTTATCATCCTGCTGCAAAACTTAATTCTACATGTAACATCTAAACTATAGACTTAGTCATTCTACAGACTTAAAGTTCTGGAAGGAAGGGAATAAGGTGGGGTGGGGTATACGTGTTAGTTGTTTGGTCTTATGAGAATTTTATCAGATATTCTCTCTGTCTTTTAAGAATTGAAAAACACTGAAGAGAGCATTCATAAGCAAACATCCACCGTCATCCATCGTAAGAAAAAAATGCTGAAATTCTCTCACCTTTAAACTTCACAATGAGCAATCTCTGAATAAATTCTCAGGAGACCTCTGTGCTTACACTATTTAAAATTCACTTGTTACCATACTGAATCTCACAATCAGTGTATATCCACAACACTGGGATTCTAATTAGAATAAGATATATATTCCATGCTTGTATAAATATATCAAAATGTATTCTACTATCATGTATAACTACAAAGAATAAAGTTTTTATAAAAAATCACTTGTTGCTTATGAGTATTGTCTTGACTTGCTACTATTTGGTAGCATTCAGGAAAGTGTTTTATATTCGTTTTATAATTGTTTTGAATGCTAACTTCATAAAGTATGCAAATGACAGTGGTACACTTTGCACCCTTCATCAGAAGTTTGTTTCCTTATGATAAAACAGATAAGCCATTTACTATATAGCTCCTGAACTTTTCACACAGTTAACTATGAGATATCGCCCTCATAATATACCATCCCATGTTAGTTCCCACCCACTCCCCACAATTATACTCAGCAACAACTTTAATGGGTCATATATAAAACTAGTCTTCAGTGACTGGCACACTCACCCATGCCCTCATTAAAACTTCAAGGATCTAAATTTCTGCTAAAAGTAATCTTATTTTACCCTCAGCCATGTGAAATAGTCTCTCATTTTAGAACACTGTTAATAAACACAGCCTTTAAAAAACCAGTAACCCAAGAAATTCATCAAAATACATAACAAATATGCATTTTTCAAAAGCATTAATCAGTAAAACATTTAAAAATGCCATGCTCTGTTATTTTATATGATTATTCCAATTCTCATCTGCTAATTTAAACTAGAGAAAAACCAATGAAAATCTATGAGTTAATTAACATGACTAGGCCATTCACCTGAACCTTATCTTAAATCCATTCTTAACTCCCTCAGATGTTAAGCGAAACTTAAGAAATTTAATTTTAGAGACTAAATGATATTAATTTAGGGTCAAGTTTTTTATGCATAAGTCCAGATTTTTTTTTCTTAGAAATTACGGTTCAATTTTACAAGAACCACAATCAAATTTCCCTATAAGTTAAAGAAGAGCATGTTCTAAACACATTTAAACCAGCGATGTCTTTATTTAAGAGACATTTTCTCCTGTACCTGTGAAAACAAATTAAATTGTGTTTTTACTCTAATTAGTTTACCCATAAATAGGTATATTATTTTATTCCAAAGTTCTCCAAATTTCTACCCAAACTAAGTATCAGTCAGTGGCCTATTTTTTTTTCCTTTACTCTTAGAGTAAGCTTAAGTCCAAGAAATATTTGCTTTATCTAAATAAAAAGCTAAATAAGTACATTTGTTTTAAAATAAACACAAGAGATTATGATGCTGTCCTTCACTTTGCTAAATAATGTCAACCAACCACAGATCTCTTAATCAACTCCCTTTCAGAAACAAACTAGTTACCCACAGCATATGGTGACTTCTACTTCTTAGAAATACTTAAATGATTACCCACAGAATAACCTAAAAAGAAAAAGCTTGCTGTATGTTAGGATATTCTTGAACTCCCTGAAGTTGTCCTAATGGTGTCATACAGGTAGGCATAAATTTAAGTAGGAAAAGCATAAATTTCCAACTGCTGTACATTACCAGCTTTCCACCCTCTTCATCAAGTGTCAAATCTCCTTCAAGTACAGAATTGAACAAGTATGGCTTTTGAGGTATAATTTGTATTTTAAATTGGAATTTGTTCTATGACACCATTTATAGCAATGATTCTATGGACTTAAAAAATTTAATGATAGTAAGAAAATTCATTCTCCAAACTGACTAAACTTTTATTCACACCTTCATTTATAATTCTAGATTCTTCCACCTCCTCCTTTATGAATGATATATAAAGATCACCAGCAATCTTAGAAATATCCTCCTGAATAAATATTTTCTGTAAAACAGTCATAGGTCCATTTAAATTTCTAACTATCCACTTAATTATGCAAATACCCAAGAAAATGTTATTTTTACTTAACAATAACAGCACAATTTACAATTTCGAACCATTCTGAAGTTCAGGCATTAGTCCCCAAATTTGAAGTTTATGTTTAGAATACAAAACACACTGGCATAATATAATGCACGTCAATAAATTATATTTAAAAACCAACTGGGTACCATCAGATGCATTCTCTCCAAATAAAACTTCCTGCAAAAGCAAAGTGTGTATCAATACCTCACCTTCAAGGATGCCTCGTTTTGCTGTAGAATCTTTTTTCTTACTGGTTTTGTAAATGTTTGCCTGTCACTTTATAAGAAATTTATAAAAAAGAAAAGAAAAGAAAGAAAGAGAGAGAGAGAAATCTAAGAAAACCTATGTGTTGAAAATCGCCCACTACTTAAACAAACAAACAAAAAAAACTAATTATAAAATTTCTGCTAAGGGAAGAAGGACAGAGTAAAGTTGTAGGGAAGCCGAACACCAGGTGTAGTATATTTGCAAAGTTGGCCCAGCTGTGAAAGACGGTGCAAACGCCCTTTAGTTTTGTTACTTCTTCGTGTTTCTGTTGTTCAGATTATAAAATACTCAGAGAAAAGAGAAAGAAAAACAAAACCCCAATATGCTTGTTTCTTACTAAGTCTAAAGTTATAGCACTTTCCTAAGCTAGCTTCCTGCCAACGCCCGGATTCCCTTCAGTTTGCGTCGCTTCCCAAGAGTTCGAAGTTTCCCCGAGAGCAGAGAAAGGAGCTTCCAGTGCTTACCTGATCCCTTGGTATACAGGGCAGAGAGGTCCTTCGATGAGACTTGCTGCTGCAGCCCGACATCTCGGCGGACACCACGGAGCTGGACCGCCTCCTCCTCTTAAACACCGGGATATCTTCCTTGGTCCCAGCAATTAGCTGGGACCCAAAATGCTCCTTCGGAGCCGCCCCCGAGGACTGCGGTAAGATCTGCTCCACGTACCTGGCCAGAAGGATCCCCAGTATGCCGGCCAAATATGCCAGGTAAGGTCTCCAGGCGACCTTGAACCTTTCCAAGGAAATGAGGGACACGGTCCTGACCGCGCTAGTCAAAGCGATCATGAGGACACCCAGTCTCAGCCTCAGCACCAGCCATGTCGCGGCGGCCAAGCAGCTGAGCACCACCCCCGCGGCCGGGAGAGAGAGTAAGTGATCCTCCCCGACGCCCAGCCCAATCTGGACGAGCGCTTCCCCCCCGCAGCAGGCGGCCAGCAGCGCGACGGCCAGAGGCAAGCGCACCCCGGCGCGCAGGAGGTACAAGCCCATCCAGAAGAAGGCACACAGGAGACTGAAGAGTAGTGCCGAGAGCTGCAGCCAAGGGCTGAGCGGCGCGCCGCCCCCGGCAACACCTCCTCGAGGGCCAGGGAAGACGCCCCCTTCAGCTCCCGGGACAGCTTCCTCCTCCTCCTCGGTTGCTGCCGCCTCCTTACTCTCCTCCAGCTCACCGCCGATCTCCCCGCGGACCAGCCTCACCATCAGAGCCAGGAGAAAGGAAAGAGATCCCGCGCACAGAGCCGAGGAAAGTTTCCGGGAGCGCCGGAGCGGCTGCAGCACCAGGTCTCCCCAGCAGCCGCCGCAGCCCGAGCCCTGAGGCAATGGGGGATCCGCACGACCGTGGCAGTCCGGGCCAGCTACTGGGGCTTGACTCACCCAGCCATGGCCCGGCTCGTCCCTCTTTCGGGCGGCCTCGCTGGCAACTGCCATGGTGTGCCTTCTTCACCGAATCCCCACCGACGCCCCCACCCCTCAACACAGGAGCGTGCACACGCCCTTCCCAGTCCCACCCTCGTAATCCCTTCTTCTCCCCAGGCCCACAATCCACTGAAAGTTTCAGCTTTCGAATAACTCCAGGAGAACGCTAGATGCTCCAAAGGGACTTCTTCAAGTTAATCAGGCTTTGACTTTTCGCTCTTTGAATAGCTTTTGAAAATCCTCTGCTCCACCCCAAACCCCGATTTATATACTCAAAGGGCTCTTGCTACTTCGGGATTTTAAAAATTGCCCAATGCATCCCGCGCACCCGGGCGTCTGACGCTGGAGGAGCCGGGGGCGCAGGGCGAGCACGGGGCCATTCCCGGCACAGCTCCGCGCTGCGCTGCTGCGCGCCGGGCCAGCGGCTGATGGAGGTCTCTCTTCTCTTTCTGCAGCTCTTTCTCTATCACTCTTTCTTTCTCCTGGGCCGATCCTCTCCCGCTCGGCCCCGGGACGCGAATCGCCATTCCCTGGGACTGAAAGCAAAGCCCCCTCCGCGTCTGTCGGTCCAGTTCATGGCAAACAGTCGGAAAAAATGGGAAAGGGGCTGAGAAATAACCAAGAAGTTGCTAAGTCCCGTCGGAGAGAGACAGACCGAGACTCTGGCGGCTGCGGCAGGAGAAAGGAGGGCGGGAGAGCGATCGAGCTGGAAAGGAAGGGAGGGTGAGAGGAAAGGGAGGGTGAGAAGAGAGAATGAGATTTGCTTTTTTCCCCCCTTTCTTTTTGGTACAAGGTTGGTGATGATTTGCAGTTTTGCAGAAGGGAAACGAGTGGATATGACTGCTTAAAACTGTATTTAAACGGGCAACTGGAGTGATCGACAATTCCGCTTTCTTTCTTTAAGGCAACTCCCTAGGAAAGCTTCCTCAGCCGAGCTCCCGCCCCTCCCCCGGAGGAGGCGCTGCTCTCAGCTTGATTGCTCCTTTTCCCGGGGCTGGGCCCTTACTACTTACAAGCTAGAGAAGGGGCTGCTGTGGCTGCTCTGGCCGGTCCACCGCGCAGCATATGGCAGCTAGCGAATGAGGGGGTCTGGGTCTGGCACTGAGACTAAGCTTTCTAGGACACTGAGGGGGTGGGGGATGAGGATTGTGCTTGGCTACTTGACAAGCAATGGGAGCCAACATACTTGCTACTGTCATTGAAAATGACACCTACAGCTACTGTCTTGATTTAAAGATGCTAGTAAGTTCTCAAGTACAACAGCAAGTCAGTTTCAGGTGACATTGTAATGCTTTGGCTGCTCCTGCTGAGAGACCTATTTTCAACAGAGAAGTCAAGCCTGTCCTTTTTATTCAAAAGATGGAAGAATCTCACAGTTATATAGACCATGCACCATAGCATTAGAAAGAAGGGGAAGGGATATCATATATTAAAAAAAAAAATGTGTAACTTTAGAAAAGTCCAAGGTACAAATATTAACAGTTTTCACTCTTAATAATAAAATTGCACTATTAATGCCCATAGCCTCAAGAAGGAATACAGAGGACTGGGGATGTAGCTCAGTGGTAGGGTTCTTGCCTAGCATTCCTAAGGCCCTAGCTTCAATTTCCAGCACCAAAAAAAAAAAAAAAAAGCTTACAGAGTTCAGAAGCCCAAATAGTGAAATATAACATCTACAATGAAGATTAAACTTAGGAGAAAAAAAAAATAATCAGGACCTTAGTTATTAAGGATTAAGGATGTTCATTTACTATGGTATATAGTATTTGAGAAACTAAAGAAGTTTTAAATAATTCAATATCTGTCAAATGAAATTAAAAAAAAAAACACCTCCAGTGTTCCTTGGGAACTGATTTCTTCTTAAAAGTGTCCACAATTGTTCAATTTTAATATGACTATCTCAGATGTCATTTGCTCTCACTAATATTAATAATAAAACAATTTTGTCTTAATTATCTTGGCATTCCAGGTTAAAGTGTGTTTGTAGCCTGGAGTATTTGGATAATTGGTTCAAAATACCACTGAATTTTATGTGTAGAAATGAAGACTTGAAAAATGCCAAAAGGAGGCACTTGAAATAAAATTAATTCATGGGGGCAGGGGAAGCAGATGGCATAGTTTTAGACTTAGCTTCATGGAAAACTGTGTGTTGTAGTGAGAGGCAGGTATTCATATTAATATCATGACATAAATGGATAGATAGGGGTTGTGATAATACAGCTTCTCTGTGTCACGTGTCCAGAACTGTGCAACCACACAGGAGTACAATTTGGGCAGCTAGTCAGTGGCAGTGGCACCATCTGTCTAATAATTAAGGAAACAGGAATAGCAATGTCTTTGCCAAAGACAAATGAGCCCCCTAGCATGCACACATACTTTCATGAGTTTCCTTTTTAGACATATGATTCATATGCCAGATCCTACCTGGGACACTTCAGAGTGCAAAACCTTGATTGGAAAATCATGCTAATATCTCTTGGCATCAAAAACAGCACATTGAATTGAAAAAAAAAACTGTAGAACTCTGGGCATACATCAAGGTTAGAAAATCACAGTGAGGGGGATTTTAGAACATTTCCATTTTCTCTGTCCTCTAACTCCACAATTATCTCCCTTCTTCAGAAAAGACAACATCATCACAAAATCTGAACTCTGTAGATTTTTTTAACAACTTTTTAAAAGTTGTAATAGAAAAGAAACAAAAAAGCCATTATCTAATAGCAGCAAAGCAAGAATACTAGGTCTGTATGTTAATGACACATTGGAGCTGCTCAATAGTATGACAGAAGCAATGTCCTGACCGATGGTTCCCCTTCCATTTTTCAAAACTTTGATTTAAGTTATATCTTCCACCAGAAGCATAGAAGGTAGATTTTTCTCCCTGTTACCATCCAGAAACCAAAGGGAAGTGAACAAAAACAAAGACACAGAAAGCTACAGCCTGTGCTAACTGAACAAAGTGACTTACAATGAACATTTAGCAGAGCATCTTAATAAAATAAGCCATGATGCCTACAGTATACATTCTTCAGCAATCACGCATGAATACTTTAAGACAGTGACGTAACAGAAAAAGAATAAGGAAAATATACAGGTGGAAAAAGAAAGGGCATAAACAATAGAAAGAAAAATTCAACTTTGGCTTGACAAGCTCTTCACTTAGACAAATCTGATTAATGTGGTTTTATTAGTAATTTGTGGAGATACAAACTACAACAAATCTAACTACAAATCCTTTGCCCTTTGCCAAATATAATTACTCTTAAGGTAAAACTGTTGTAAGATTTTAAAAAGCTTAATGTATGAATTGCCAAGATCATTGTAATGTCATATGTAGCTAATAAAAAAAAAAAAGTTTACTCCCCCACCCCACCTTGGGCTGGGGTGGTAGCTCAGTGGTAGAGTGCTTGCCTAGCATGTGTGAGGCACTGGGTTCAATCCTCAGCACTGCATATGAATAAATAAAATAAAGGTCCATTGACAACTACAAAAATATTTTTTTAAAAAAGGTTACTCTCCTTAACATGGATTCACTCATTCTCCACTAACTACCTGACCTCTACACTCTTTTTTTCTGAAAGATACCTAAAAGAGAATGCATCTAAAAATTCTTCCACTTCTAAGTACTTCCTTCTAATCTCTTCCACCTACACACCCAAACTCTTTCTCCTCAGCGTTTTTTCATCTGATAAGGAACATAACCACCTACCTCAAGCCCCAAGTAGGACATTGTCCTTGATACACTTCTGATTATCTTGGTTAATTCTTCCATGCTATTAGCAAATCCACTGGATTCTCCCTCTACACTATATCCTGATTCCATTTACTTTTCACCACCGCTCTCATAATAACCAATCCAGAAACCCATCGTCATCTCTAATCATGACAATCACAATAACAAATTGGTCCTGCCCTACTTGTAATTGATTTTCTTTTGCAGCAGAATGATAGTCAGAAAATGCAAGTTGAATGATGTCTCTCCCCTACTTGACAGCATCCAAAGTCTTTCTAGTGCACTTGGATGATCCAAGTCCTCCTGACAACCCACAAGGACCTTCATGATCTTTCCAGAGTCACTTTCTCTGTCCTCTATTTTTATTCCAATTTTTCTGCTACATTATAACTTCCTTCAGTGACAGAAATGGACTCTGTGTTATCCAATATAGTACACATTAACCACAAATGGCACTTGAACCATAGCTAGTGCCACTGGGAAATGAGTTTTTGTAATATTATTATTCATTTATTCCAGGGATGGGAGTTGGGGTGCTTAACCATTGAACCACATCCCCAGCCCTTTTTATTTTTTATTTTGAGATAGGGTCTTGTTAAGTTGCTTAAGGCCTCTCTAAGTTGCTGAGACTGTCCTCTAACTTGTGATCCTTTGGAGTCACTAGGATTCTAGGAGTATGCCACCACACCAAATTTTGTGTTTTATTTAAATTAACTTAAATTTTAATAGCCTCACTTGGCTTGTGACTATAGTAATGAAGAGTACATCTCACATATCTCAAGCCATATTTGTGTTCTTTACCAAATTAGAAATCTTTGGGGGGACATCAACTAGTACCTAAATTTTTTTTTTCACCTAGCTCCTTCTCCATCAGTTCCAACTACAAATGTTATTATTATTTTTTTTTTAGAAAGGCCAATTCCCAGAATGTTTTTTGTTTGTTTGTCTGTTTGTTTTTCAATTAAACAATTATTTCATTGCTTGAGTACATACACAAATTTATGCCACCAGGGTAGAGGCTCAATTTTCATGCAAAGAAAGACCCGCTTGGTTTTACAATTTCAAGCCCATCAGTGAATTTGGCTCTCCATCAGAATCAGGTGGAATTTAGCATCCTTTCCCTTTCTATTCCTCTCAAGATGCTTTCAAACAGCAACCACTTTCTTAATTAAATGGTGGCAATCCTGGGGAAGATTAGGAGTAAGTTTTTTGGACTTAAGATTCTGAAGATTTTATTGCTGGTCACAAAACATACTTGGGCAATGCCATGTGAGACCCTCATTTGTCACACCAATTTGAGAAGGAGTCAGGCCCTT